TCCTTCTTTATGACGCTGGCACGCATTAAATGATAATTTTGAGAGATTTTTTAGAAAACACCATGCATTCAAATGGAAATCCAACAAAACAATAAAGAAGCTTTAAAACCTTTTTTCCTTCGGAATTCATCGAAATTTTAAAAAGCAACGAAGACCTTAATGTGAATAACATTATGACCGGTGTCCAAGTATTATTTACATTTATAAAGCCAGCGTCATTACTATAAAACTGTTAACATCGTTTTATTAAAAAATGCTCATGAAACTTTCGGCATCATCGATTTTCTAAAACCTCTTTCCTCGCTAAAAGTAATTGCGTATAATTTGGGATCGTACAGGAGAAAATCTTAAAAAAAATAGTTGATTTTCATTTATCTTCCTTTGAAACCGATCGTTATTTATCACAGTTATCACTCCATTGGCGACAATCCCCTGTCCTGATCCCCTCTCCGTTACCCTGAAAGCCACGAGAAATAACGTTGTTGGGAATATTCTCCAATATTTGGAAGTGATTTTTCAAATCGCCACGTAATCGTTCTTTAAGCTATCGATTGTCCTTCAAAATCATAGAAAATTTTAAGCACTGCTGTAGCGGCAGAAGGATGAATGGCACAACCTTCCTTCTGTTTTATTCGACGCTGGCACGTAATTCAGTTGTCAGTGCTAGTTCTGAGAAATTTTTGGCAAAACAGTCCACGGTCATGGGTAAAATTAATGTGGGAGGAAAGAACCGGCCTGTACAAAGCTTATAGAGGTCTGCAACCACTTCTGTTAGTTTTCATAAGGATTTAAAAGAGCCACGGAACCCTTGATAAGAATAATATCATGTCTGCTATCCTACTTTTAATTGTATCCATAATTACAATTTCACCATGCATCGATGACAAAACGAGCTTTCCCCGTTCAAAATTCACTTGTGATTTATTGTTTACTTGAAACTGGGACAACCCAATTATATAGCTTCTAGATTATATCAGTAACTAAAGTTAACTTGCAATCCTCTTTCTCCCTATTTCATTTATTGTAAACAAATACCGCGGATAGTCCTTGTAAGCAAAACAGAGTAGATTTAGCTTTCAGTATGGATGACATTTGATGACGGATTGTAGTTTGTCCGAAATGTCCGATTGCTCTTCCAAGACATCTTTCGCAGTATGTTTATGATGACGTGTCGAACGTGTCATCTTCCAGCAGTAAATGACCGGGTTCAAAGATGAATTAAGATACAC